CGGAGGAGAAGGTTAGGAGCTAAGATAAAGCCCCAGCTACCGAGAAGGTACGCGACAGAAGCTGAAGCCAGGAGGATAAAGACAAGGAGAGACACACTGGGGGGAGTAGGAGCACCGGGGGGGAAGCATCACATGACACAGGTGCTCCATGGCTGTTGGATCTAAGAACTAACCACAGCAACACCAGCTTGATAAAAGTAAGGTCAATGCACCACCTGGACTCAGAGAAAGAAAGAAGGACTGAGACTTAAAGTCGCACACAGGGACACTGAAATGCCTGGCACTCCACAAAATCAACAGGACACAAAGACCACTGAATTGTTTTGCATTTTGATCACATTGATTACACTGCAATGAGTTGGATGACATAACTACAATTTTTGTGATGATGTGAACAGATTAGGACAGACTTGTCTGGCTGGAGGACATTCTGCAGTAAAAAAAGCAGCCATAGGGATCCAGATAGGGAAATACTCAGGAAAAGGTTGTAGGTGCATTTAAATGAAATGAGATCCTTTCTGAAAATAGGCTTGGAACATTTAACAGTCATTTTACGATTCCTCAGAGCCTGACCACCTCTCCCATTAATTCTGTCTCTTTCTATTTAGATTAGTTAATCCCACTTCATTCTATTTAAAAAAGCACTTTGTGATCAGACTCATGGCACGGTTACGCCGTCTTTACTGATTTAGTGCAGTTTGTGATCATTTGTGGTGGGATGGTCAAAAGCAGGGGCCAAAATTGATATTGTTATTGATGAATAACAATATGCAGATCTTAGAAGATGTATTAATATGTCCATAGATGTGTGAATTGTTGACACATATTTTTGTTTACTCATGTTTTTTATAGAAAAGCTCACAGTGAAGATCTGGAAAGTTGTTACAGGTAAAACCTTTGATGCTGAAGAAACTCTCCTGAAGGAGGTAGAACATCGTGGACAGTTGAAACTGAAGAATACCAGACAAGAGGACTGTGAGGTCTGCATAATGTTCTGCCCAGTGACCGATCGCCCCGGGTCAGACGTTTCGAATGCGATCAGTCAGATCAAAGGTAAATGTCACCGTAGGTTACTCTGGATACAGGTCCAGTGACAGCTTATAAAGAAATTCCACCATGTCCTTCATTTCATCACTCGTGACTATTTCAATCTATGCAAACACCAGTTACATAGTACAAGAAGAATGGAGTGCTTCATAACACCGCTGCCTTCCACTGTTTGACCCTCAAAACCTTACTCATCCCCTTCACTTTCACGGACGTAAAATTCAGATGTGCTGGTAGTGACATGAATGGAAAGTCCCCCTCTTTTTCTAAAACTTGAATTGTTCTTAAATTGGTGGTCACTAACGATGTGGAAGACTGAGCTAAAGACAGAGATGAAACTAAAGTATAAGAAACTTAAATCTATCAGAATAAAACAGACCATGTAGCTGGGAAAATGCAGTCCTTTGAAAACACCTATGAAAACCAAAAACCAAGGACTTTACTAAACCAACGTTGATCAGGAAAAGCAGAAAAGCTGGGAATCGAAGCCAGAAAGAAGCCACAGCAACAACACTTATGAGGCCAACCGGGGACTTTTAATACCGAGAAGGTCGATTAGCGCGTGGTGGCAGCTGAAGACTCTACACATGAATGAAGGCAGTAAAGCTGCCAACCAGACCAGAAGAGACTGAGCCAAGAAATGGAAAAAACAAAACTGAGGAAGATGGGAACCAAAGGGAAACTATCAAGGACAGGGTTAGTTTGGCGTGAAGAATGAAGAAAATGCACAGACACAGAAACCAAACTGACCATTCTCAAAAAGACTAGAAAATAAGATTAAAGAGAGCCAAAAACACAAAACAAAAAGAAAGAGCAAGTAAGACTTAAAAGAATAGATCCTAATTACAATCCCTTAAAACATAAACAAGAAACTGAAAAGAAAAAAAAAATACTGATAATCCAAGTAAAGAAAAAATAGTAAATAATACAGTACCTTTTATAGTATTTGAATCACAGAGAGGTCGGTTAGAATATTATATTTATTTATCCATTTTCTATACCCACTGATTCTAATGGAAGGGCACAGGGGGCTGGAGAGGTGGGGTCCAAGTCCATCAAGGGGACGGACCCCACGGTCTCCAACATCTTAGTCTAACTTAACATGGATGTCATTGTGTGGTGGGAGGGGCCCGGGTTCACAGCCAGAACC